TTCTTTTAAAAATTATGTTTTAGTGATAAACGTTAAAGCAGCTAGGTGTGTGTGATGGGGGAAACATTAAAGACATAGCTCATTACAAGGGCAAAGACTCCAATTCTTCCAATTCCATTGTGATGCATGAATTTTCTGGAAGTTTTTCAATGTAACTGCAAACACGTGCACACACAGATGTTTTATATGAGGATGAGACCACTCTTCACATTTCACTTGGTCATTGAGATATCATGAACATAATAGCTTATTTGTTTCAGGTGTACAACATAATGATTGGATATTTGTATACATAGTAAAATGATCACTACACTAAGTCTAGTTAACATCCACCACACACAAGTCACAGAATTTTCTTCTTGTGATGAGAACTTTTAAGATTTACTGTCTTAGCAACTTTCAAATATGCAATACAGTATTCTTAACTATACTCACCATGCTGTACATCACACGCCCAGGATTTATTTATGTTATATCTCGAAGTTTGTACCTTTGACTCCTTTCACCCATTTCCCCCACCTCTTACCCCCCACCTCTGGCAGCCACCAATACGTTCTGTGTATCTTAGTTCTTTTTTGTTTGTTTGTCTTTTAGATTCTATGTATAGAATTTTGTAACGTATAAGTGAGAGCATAGATAAGTCACATCATATGGCATTTGTCTCTCTCTGTCTGGCTTATTTCACTTAGCGCAATGCCCTCAGGTCCATGCATCTGTGCCAGGCCCCTCTCACACACACCACAGAGGCGTGACCGGACAGCCCCCTGAGCCAGAGGGAGGTGGCTGTCCCCTCCTCGGTTCTTGTCTTCCTTATGAATGAATTCAAATGAGTGACTCCAGGTGATTGTGTTGCGATGAAGCCAAGTTACTAATAAAATAAAAGCGAGCAAATTTATTCAGGAAGCAAGGCAAACAAATCTACTAAACTACATCTGAGCTGGGGCTCAGATGGGCTTTCCCAACTAGTTTGGAAAAGCGAGTCTGGTGGGAGTCCAAGGGGTTACATACCTTCTGTCTATAGTTTTACGTTCCTCTGCTAGATGTCCTGGTACCAGTGAGCTCTCAAGGTCTCCCCTTTCCTTTGTTATGGCTTTCCCAGAATTTATGAGAAGCATCTAGTACTTTTATCTTGATGAGCCCGGAGACTGCTGGCTTCACAGTTTAGGAAGAGAAATAAAACTGTCCCCCCCCCCCTGGGTCCCCCTAACAGCTGACTTCTGTGTTTACTGAGACAGGCTTTTAATTCTCCCCCGTCTTTCCCTCCCCGCACCTGCCTTGGCAGTTCCTGGGTGATTTTTGCTTTGTGTCCTCTGGTCAGAGAAGCGGCATTGAGATTCCCACTCCCCTCCTGCATCTTTAGTGAGGAGAGGTGTTTACCCATTTGCTCCCAAGTGTCCTTGCTTTGCGGAGATGATGGCTTGTTATTATTGACAAGCTGGCGGCAAGCTCCCCAAACTATTTGGCCTTGTTTAATTTTCTTAATTTTCTTGTCTCAGTTTCCCTATTCCTCTTGCTTTGGAATTTTTCCTAGCTTCTCACTATGCTGTAATACATCTACCCATGTATTACAAAAAATTATTTCCTTTGTATATAACTTTTCATGTATTACAAAAAAATATTTCCTTTGTATATAACTTTTTTTGGGGGGGTAAATCCTCACCCAAGGATATTTTTCCATTGATTTTTTTTTTTTAAGAGAGTGGAAGGGATGAGGAGAGACACGGAGAGAAACATCTATGTGAGAGAGACACATTGATTGGTTGCTTCCTGCACAGGCACCAGGGCCAGGGGTCGAGCCTGCAACTGAGGTAACTGAGGTACGTGCCCTTAATTGGAATAGAACCTGGGACCCTTCAGTCCATGGGCTGACGCTCTATCCTCTGAGCCAAACTGGCTAGGGCTTTCATATATCACTTTTTCATATATCACTACTCTTCCTGCCTGGGTCTGATGGAGCGCTTGCAATGTTGAGGATTAACCAGGCCCATTTTGCAGATATGAAGACTGAGGCTCAGAGGGGAGACTGGCTGTGCCTGAAGCTGGTCACTCACACAAGGCCTGCCACCACTGATCGGACACACACTTGCCCACTGTCTGGCTCTGGGAGACGGACCAGCCTCTCCCTTTCCCTGTGTGGCTCCCCTACCTCCATAGTGGCTGAGGGACATTTCAGAAGCCAGGAGGCCTGTGTTATTTGGAATCTGAGACCTTCACCACTGGGGATGCTCCAGCCTCGTCAGGCTCAGAGTAAAGTCCCCACCTGAGCATCCTTTCCCCTTCTATCACCCGATCCAGGAATCCAGGGAGCCCCAGACCTATAGACGCTGCCCTCATGATGGCTGCGGAGCCCTGCTGGGGTTTGAGTTCTTGGTCATGGCTCCTCAAAGTTCAACACCCACTTACAGCTTCAATTTGGGCCCAGATTCTGCGGCCCTCCTTGGCCTTTCTGAGGGCCCATTGCGTGGTTTCATAGGTTAGTGCTCTCGGCCCCAGTGTCAAAGGGACAGGAACCAATTGCCTTTATGTGGAGCCCGGGTGTCCCGTTCCAGGCCTGCCCCTGGAGGCCCTCCCTCTTCATTCAGGTCTCTGCTCACCCTGACCCCTGGCCTGAGGTGGAAGCCCTCCTCCAGGCACATCGCTGACCCCTGTCTGATATGTCCTGATCATCTGTTTGATCATCGCCCATCTCTCCACGAGATGTGAGCCCCTTGACACCAGGTACGATGTCTGCCGTGCTCACTGCTATATCCCTTGTGCCTAGAATAGTGCCCAGCACATAAAAGGTGTTCAATAAGCAGATGGTTGCTTAGAAAGCCCCAGGGGGTGTAGATTTCCCCCCTAATTTATAACTGAAAAAACCCCTGTGAATCAGAGAGGTAAAGGCACTCCTTCCCCGTATCCCTTGTAGAACCCAGACTTGGGGGCCTTAACGCCACGTCTTAAAACTCGGAGTGCACACCACGCCCCAGTAGGGATTCAGTTCTCAGGCAGTATTTCTGGGCCAGAACGCTAGCCTCTGCGTTCCCTGTGAGCTCTCAGGTGATACGGATGGCGGAGGCCTGAGGGCCACACTTTGAGTAGCCAAGTCTTAGAGTTCGTGGTTGCAAAGCTCACTTGCTTCCCGGGATGTTTAATGAGCACCTATTATGTACCAAGCTTTGCTGTCGTTTTGACCTCATTTGCTGTAAGGCTGGAGCAAGCGCTTCACCTCTCTGAGTCTCTGGTTCCTTTTCTGTAAAAATGGGCTCATGAGGGTAATATCGCAAGGCTGTTGGATGGTTGCACAAGTACAGTAACAACAACAACAACAAAAACAATGACTAGCATCTGTTGAGCCCTTCCTCTCTCCTATGTGTCTTCCATACACAGTCTCTTTTCATTATTCCCACCACCTTGGCCAGGGCACAAATGAAATGCCCACTTACAGACATGAGGGGCGCAGCTTACTGGTTCAGGGCACCCGCCAACGTAAAGCCTGGCGCCCAGTCTGGCCCCACCAGCTGTGACTGTGGGCAAGGCACTCAAATGGAATTCAGCCTCAGTTTCCTCATCCATAAAACGAGAAAACAAAAGGCTAATATACCTCAAGGGCTTAAAACAGATTCAGTGGCTTATGTTCTCACATACCGGCGGTGGCTGCCGGCCTTGGTCTGGGCCCCTCTGCCTGACCCCCAGGGCTCGGCCCTGACAGCTGAGGGGAGGGGGGTGCCTCACCTTGCAGGCAGGACATTTAGCACATAATAGGTTTACTTTATGTGGTGCACCTGATGCACAGAAGGAGCATTTTATATGAGTAGCCAGCACATAGTAGGCATGCTTTATATAGTAAGTTGAGTACTCAGGAGGCACTTTTTATGTAGAATGTCTGGCACACAGCAGGCATGCTTTACGTGGAGTACCCTGCATGCAGTAGGTGTGTTTTATCTGCAGCTCCTGGCACATAGTAGGCACACTTTATGTAGAGTACCTGGCACTGAGTAGGAACGATCTTTGAGGTGTCCAGCACCCAGTAGGCATGCTTTATGTGGAATGCCCAACACACAGTAGGCACACCGTACATACAGTCTTTTGAGCAGAGTGGGTTTACTGTCCGTGGTGTACTGATACACAGCAGCACAAGTACCAGCTGTCAGCTCGTTCCCTTCACTCCAACTCCTTTGGGGCTCCTGATCCTTCCCTCCTTCCTGTGTAACCCTCCTCTGTCTCCCCCTCAAGACCTCAGTCACCATCCCAGGTGGAAGACTGATCCCAGAGGGGCCGGCTCAGCCATCATTCAGAGCGAGGGCAGGGTTACACTCATTCAGCGTCTCCCAGTCTGCCCTGCCCTGCCAGGACCCCTCAGACTTCCCCTCTCGCCTCCTGGTGCCCTCTCCCCTCTGGGTCCTTCCTGCCCTGAATCTGATGGGGAAGTTTCCAGCCAGGCTGTTTGCTGGTTTCTCTTCACAGCAGGCGGGTCTCAGTCCAGGCCCCGGGCTGCTGGGAGGCAGGACTGTAACTCCTGTCAGGCTGTGCGCCCGGAGGCCAGAGGCTTTTGCCTCTGAGTTTCATGACTCTGAGCCAATAAACTGTGCACGACAAGCTCTGGGCCGAGGACCTGTGCACGACAGGCTTGGAGAGAGCAGCTTGGCAGAGGTTTGGGACAAGGCTCACCTGGCAACTCAACAGTCAAGTTCAAGCTTTTACCCGCCACGCCCTGGTCTCGGGAGGGTAGGGGAGGCAGTAAACTTGGGGGCCCAGAGTCATCTTTGCCTACCCCCCAACCTACCCTTGACCCCCCGGGGGGTGCTGAGTCCTGAGGATCCAGTGTCCACACTGTGTGACCCGGAGCTAGTTCTAGGCCTATAGTGACAACACTGTAGGCCTCCTCCCCCACCCTCTATCTGGGCCAGTGCCAATTGGGGTGGAGGTAAGCAGGTGTTTGGGGATTGGTTGGTTTAGCCCAGCCCCTCCCGGCCTGGCCTCCCCTAGGTCAGAAACCGGGGGCAAAGGCTTCCCAGGAGGAGGGAGAGCAGGTTGTGTGGAACCAGCTTCTCCAGACAGAAGGTGCCAGTCTCGGGGTCAGGGAGCTGAGGGTCCTGGTCCAGGGTGGGGAGAGGTGTTGCTCAAGGCTGGGGTGGCTCCAGGGAGTGGAGCTGGCCTGGGAGTTGGGTGCATAACAGTGGGTCATGTAACTGTGTCTCCCTCTCTCCCTCTGGCTCTTCCTCTGTATTTCCCCGGGTGTCCCTTCCCTCCTGCGCCCCCATTCACCCATCCCTGAGCCCTCCCTGTCCTGTCCCAGCACTCACCTGGCCCTCCCTGACCCTATTGCACACACCCTCTCCCTCGGTAAGCTGCTCTCTGCCTCTGAGCTCCCCCTTACCGCCCCGTCCTAGGCCCCAGGAGCTCACCCTCTGCCTGCCCTGCAGGATGCTGCAGCTGAGCCTGTCCTGGCTGGGACTGGGGCCGCTGGCAGCCTCCCCGTGGCTACTCCTGCTGCTGCTGGGAGCCTCCTGGCTCCTGGCCCGCTTCCTGGCCTGGATCTATACCATCTATGACAAATCTCGCCGCCTCCGATGTTTCCCGCAGCCCCCAAAGCGGAACTGGTTTTGGGGTCACCTGGGCTTGGTGAGTGTGGGCAGCAAAGTGAGTCTTGGGTATTAGGGTGGACGGACTCCCCAAGGGGTTGGCAATGGGGCTCAGGGGTTGGGCTAGGGTCTAGGACAGCAGAGAAGTGAAGTGAGGGGGGTCACGGGGAGCCCCTCTTTTCTCACTCATTCCTCCACTCTGCCATCCCAGGCCTTCCCCACATCCTGGGCCTCTCCCCAGCTGCTCTGGGTCCATTTCCGTCTGCCTTCCCCACATTAGTGCACCTCTGAGGGGCTCCCAGGGTGGGTTGCGCAGATCTGGGTCCCCTAGGACTCCCGGTGTCCACAGCCAGCCTTCAGACCACCTCAGGGGCACTGTCCAGGGTTTGCTCCTGTCTGGCTCATTTCCGTGTGTCTGCTCACCCCCATCCACAGGGGCACAGCTCCCCGTCCCCTCAACTTCCTGGCATACCGTCCTCTTACCTTACTCTTCTCTCCTAAGATGTCTCAAGGAGCCTGTTGCACAACCTGGCTAAAGTTGGCCACTCATTTCTCTTTTTGGAAGCCTTCTTCAACTCCTGCCACACCCCAAACTTTGACCTTCCACTTGGTCCTGCTTCATTTTAATTATACAGTTAATTGTCTAATTGCTTATAATCTGGGTCTCCAACTTCATGGTAGCTCTGGGGAGCAGATACTCTATCTGCAGCTCACAGCCCCGGGGCTGGCGCACATCAGGCACTTAATCATGTTTGAGTCCCTAAGTGGTGAATTTGCCATCACCTCCCTCAGTCAAGGCCAGCTCCTCCCTTCCCGGGACCAGCCGAGGGATGAGTACAGCTTTCCTTTCCTGCCTGGAATGAGAACTACAGCTTGGGGAAGGACATCCTGTGATTTCTCTGCTCACTATGGCCAAGTTCACAAGAGGACATTCCCAAGCTCAGCATGAAGGCTGCCTGAGGTTCTGGGTCTTGGAATGGAAGTTCCAGCCGTTCCAGCTCCCCCTCTGCAGCGCAGCCATGGGCGCTGGCCTTGTCACCTTCTCTCCTCCAGCCCCTCTTGCTGTGCGACCTCAGCTGAGTCACTCTCCCTTATGGACCAACCTCATCACGAATCCTGCCCTCTGGGTCCTTGGCATCAGGGGCCAGGTCACTAGGGTGAAAACAATGTACGTTCACCTGCCTGGGGCACCTGGGGTATTTGTCAGGCTTGGATGGGGCATCCTGAGGGACAGAAGAGGAGGCCTCACCAAGAGGTGACCTGCCCTCCTTCCCCTTAGTGGGGATGTGTCGTCCCTTTCTTCGTTTGTAAATAGCATGATTGGTGGGCATGTCCATCGGTTGAAGAGAGAGAGATAGACAGGACGAACTATGATAGGTAGGTAGATAATAGATGATAGACAGACAGACAGAATCCACTATTAGATAGGTAGATAGGTAGACGCACAGACTGACAGACTTGATGCACTATGTTAGATTAAAGATAGATAGATGGATAGATAGATAGATAGATGATAGATAGATAGATAGATAAATAGATAGATAGATATAGGTAGATAGATAGATGATAGATAGATAGATAGATAGATAGATGATAGATAGATAAATAGATTTAGGTAGATAGATAGGTAGATAGATAGATAGATAGATAGATAATAGATAGATAAATAGATGATAGATAGATAGATGGATAGATAGATAGATAGATAGATAGATAGATGATAGATAGGCAGGACGCACTATACACAGAGCCTGGCCAGCAGAAGGGGCTCATCGGTGGGAAACACCCTCCTGATTGATGAGCAGAGAGCTCTGTCCCTCGGAATCTGGTGGCAGAGAACATGTCCTCTCCCTGTGCCTGGGGGGCACCCTGACGGCCTGGGGAGGCCTCCAGAACCCACGTTCTTGGGGGAAGGAGCAGGAGGAAGCAGATTATCTCCATCCAGGCAAAATCCAGACACACTCTCCATTGCAGAGGCTGCAGGGGGGACCTGCTGTGGCTCCTTTGGGGTGTGACAACCCTGCCTTGCTTTCAGGTCACCCCCACAGAGCAGGGCATGAGGGACGTAACTCAGCTGGTGGCCACCTACCCCCAGGGATTTAGGACCTGGCTGGGTCCCATCCACCCCCTCGTCACTCTGTGCCACCCTGACATGGTCCGGGCTCTCACCAACGCCTCAGGTACCCACACAGAGCTTGTGGTGGTGGGTGCCCTGGCACATCTGGGGCTTCTTGCCCCTCCCTGCCTAGCTTCTGAGCGGCCCCTGCAGGACCTGGCCCTCTTCCCCTCTTCTCTCTTAGCATCTTCCTCTTTTTTTTTCTTTCATGTATTCAAACATGCATCTCACCACCTCCTCCCTCTAATGCAGGGGTTCTCACCTGTGGGTCGCGACCCCTTTGTCGGTGGAACGACCCTTTAACAGGGGTCGCCTAAGGCCATCCTTCATATCAGATATTTACATTACGATTCATAACAGTAGCAACATTACAGTTATGAAGTAGCAACGAAAATAATTTATTGTTGGGTCACAACATGAGGAACTGTATTTAAAGGGCCAGAAGGTTGAGAACCACTGCATGCCGTCTGCTTCTGACCCAGTGTCCTGGGCACCCACTGCGGGCCCAAGAGGCTTTAATCCAAGGTTCTGTCTGGAGGAGGAGCTCCCAGTCTTGAGGGAGACGAATCAGGACGGAGGGATCCCTGACCTGGTGTGGTCGGAATTGGCCAGAGGCAGGCTGTGGCCGCCCAGAAGAGAAGCAGGGTCTCTCCTGGAGGAGGCTGGGAGGCCTCCTGGAGGAGGAGTGGCTGGAACCGGGTCTGGAACAATGAGGAGAAAGTGTTTAAAGCAGAGGGTAGAGGAATGCAGGGGGCATTGCCAGCATCCCAGGCCCGCAGCCCAGACCTGCCCCTGCTCCCCTCCCTCAAGGCCCAGAGCAATGAGGACTTCCTATTTCTGTGATGTTGCCTCTGGTGGGTCGGCTCCTTCTACCCCACCTGCAGCTCATCCAGGAGTCTCCCCAAGGAGAGCCTGCCCCCGCCTGGGCCTTGTCCTTGGCTTTCTGCTTTCTCATCCACAGACAGATGAGGCCGAGCCGGGAAAAAGGCAGCATTTGACAGAGAGCTTGTCTCTGACACCAACATTCTGGTGACTCTGGTTCTCACCGACTGCTGAGGTCTCTTGCAGTTCTGAGTGGTGGAAAACCACCAGTGTGTGGTCAAGCAAAGAGAGGGATTCCATGGGCTGTCCAGTCCACGAAGGTTGCCTTCAGGCACAGCTGGATCCAGGTGTCAAAGAATGTCCTCAGGAACCTGTCTTCATTTTTGAGTTCTGTTTTCCTCTGTGACCCCTTCACTCTCATGCTGGTAAAGATGAATCCCAGAAGCTCAAGCCCCATGGAAAAGCGAGCTTATTCCCACCAGTTCCAGGAAAAGTGGCCGGATTCACTTGAATCTGCCTGGCCTGGCCCAGCTCCTCATCCAGTCACTGCCACCCTCATTGCGCAGTCTCGGCAGGCATAGGGTTCTCGGAGTCATTATTGTTTTGGGAGTTCAAAGAAGTTCACTAGCTCAGAACTCAGGTGCTGGATTCAGACAGACCTGGGCTCAGGTCTCAGGCATCCCACCGACTGTCTGGGAGACCACGGACACGTGACTGCTGTCCAGAGCCTCAGTTTCCTTATCTAGAAAATGGGACAGAAGAGAAGTCAGTGAATGTGGAGCTTGGGATCCAAATGAGAAAAGACGCTGATTGTTGAGTATTGAGGGTAAGGGGAGGGAGCCCAGGGGGAGGATGACCTGCTGGATAAGGTTCTTCTCTTGGCCACCTTTATAGTGTGAGTTGGGTCCTCTTTGTTTCTCTCCAGATCCGGAGCTCAGAGGAAGGCCTCCTGTACGAACAGGGCCTGGCGAGCACCTATGGGGGTGTGTGCTGCTGGTGGGTGGGGCCCTCGTATGCGGTCGTTCGCATCTTCCATCCCGCCTACGTCAAACCTGTGCTCTTTGCTCCAGGTAGACACCCCTCCGACCACAGCTTGCTCATCGCTGAGGTCTCTGTGCTGCCTCCAGCTGGGCAGGTGACCCAGGTGCAGACAGGAGGGGCTGTGGCGGAGATGCCACTGCCTCTGTCTCGCTTGGGCCCCCACCTGCCCCACCTCTAGTCATGTCTGCTCACACCTGGGCTGTGCCTGAGTGACATCTTTTGAATGGCCATCCCTGGTCACATGTATGTTTCCACTTGTGTCCTAGTTGCAGCTGATACATGTGTATACCTGGGCTCCAATGGAGTTGGCCTCAGTCATGTCTGGGGCTCAGCTTGGCCAGTGCCTTGGAGGCATGTTGGGGACTGTCTGGTGGTGCCTGTCTGAGATGCCATTTGAGATGGTCTGGTTTTGCTGCCGATCATGTCTGGGCCATGTTCTGCATCTGTCTGGTGTCTGAGACCCAGGGTCCCTCTAAGAAATGTCTGAGACCTTATGTGAGTCTTGTTAAGGCAGGTCCTAGGGTACGCCTGGTCACACTTGGGTCACATCTGGGACATTAGTGGGACCATGTTTAACTACTATCTGGGGCTGTCTGTGGGACACACTGAAGCCATGTCAGATTGTCTTTGCTTCCATGTCAGAATATGTTGACTGGGCCAGGGTGTGTCATGCATGTTTGAGCCATGTTGGGACATGTTAAAATGTGTTGGGGACATGTCAGATGTCCCAGCAGATATCAGAGAGTGCTGGGGAAGAAGGGGTGTCTGAGGTCCATGTAAAGGCATTTTGTAGAGTGTTGTGCTGTGCTTGGGTGTGTAGAGCATGTTGGACCATGTAGGAGCCATGTCAAGGCATGCTAAAGCATGTTGTGCCATGTTGAGATGTGTCTAAGCATGTAGGAGTGTGTCTTTGCGCTCTGCCTTTGCTCTGCTCTGTGTTGCCGCCTGGCCTGGTCCCCCCGCACCTCCCCACTCCTTGCTGTTTCCTCTGCCCTTGCCCCATACCTGCTATGCTGGGTTTGGAGGGGGAATGCAGACCCCTGGCTGGGAGCCCCCACCCCCACCACCCCCTCCCCCGACATCAAAAGTCCCTCTCCTCCCCCCTCCACGGTCCTGATGGTCCTCATTCATGTCAGCTGCCGTGGCCCCCAAGGACATGATCTTCTACAGCTCTCTGAAGCCCTGGCTGGGTGAGTCACTGAGGGAGAAGCAGGTTGGGGACACCCCTTGGGGGACCAGGGGAAGGACCTACCTTGCCCACTCCCGTGGCTGCCTCTACTAGGGGATGGGCTTCTGCTGAGTGCTGGTGACAAGTGGAGCCACCACCGCCGCCTGCTGACTCCCGCCTTCCACTTCAACATCCTGAAGCCCTACATGAAGATTTTCAACGACAGCGTGAATATCATGCACGTGAGTCTCTTGAACTCAGTGAGGGTCTCAGTGGAGCCTCGGGGGTTCTGGGGGCTCAGCGGCATCTTGACTGGAATGCTGACTCTTCTGGGTAGATTTTGGGCCATTGCTCTCCCTCTCTGAGCCTCAGTTTCCTCAGCTGTGAAATTGGAATAATTCCGTAGTGTGGGAAGATGACATAATGGAGTCAGGTCCCTGATACATGGCAGGTGTTCAGAGGCATTAGTTTCTGTGCTTCCCCCACAGAGGCCTTGGTCTCTGAGACATGATGAGGGTAATGATGACTATTGCGCACTAACTATGGTTGAGTAACAAACCACTTCAAAACAATAAGGGTGATTATTGGCAGCCAGTCTGTGAGTCCATTGGAGGGGGGTCTTCTGGATGTGGCTGCGGTCACTCATGTACCTGTGATCAGCTGTGGGGCAGCTCTGCTGTTCTGGGCTCCTGAGATTGGGCCTGGACTGGCTGCATGCTGACCTAGGAAGCTCTCAGCTGAGACAACTAGACTTCGTTTCATGGGATTCTCTCTCGCTCCTTCCTGGGCTCCTCAGGCTGTTCACATGGCAGAGGCAGGGCTCCAAGAGATTGAGAGGAGGCTGCGATCCCTCTTGAGATCCTGGATTAGGATCAACACCTCCTCATTCTCACCACAGTCTATTGGCCAACGCAAGTCAAAAGGCCAGCACAGAATTACATGGCGGTGCAATAGGTTCCAACTCCTAATGGTGGTTGTTGAAAAATCACATTGTGAAGAGTGTGAACCTTGGACCCAGGTCTCCTGCCTCTCAGCCAGGGGCTCTTCCTGTCCTAAGAGTAATAGCGTATACTCCCACTCAAGCCTGGTCCTCCCTGGGGATGGGTGCCTGGGGCAGAGGACCAAGAGGCAGGGTCCGGGGACTCCATCCAGGTGGTTGGGTTGGGGAAGGGCTCAGGGAAGCCCCAGCTCTATGCCCTTCTCTGTCCAGGCCAAGTGGAAGCGCCTGGCCTCAGAGGGCAGCACCCGTCTGGACATGTTTGAGCACATCAGCCTCATGACCCTGGACAGTCTGCAAAAATGTGTCTTCAGTTTTGACAGCAAGTGCCAGGAGTGAGTCTCTTCCCAGAGCCTGGGAGCATGAGCCATGGGCCCAAGGGAGTAGATGGAGGGGGTACTGACCAGGGCAATCATAAGGGCCTTCCTGGAGGAGATGGGCCAGGGCTGGACATTGAAGGACAAGGAAGGGGCATGAGCAAGAGTGATCCCTTCAGGTAGGTAGAACCGTTTGCTAAAGGCCAGGAGGCTGGAATGGGCAGCGTGTGTGAAACAGTGAGGAGAAGTGAAGTGAGGGGGCTCAGCAGGGGTGAGATCTTTGGGCCGTTAATAAGCCACGAAGTGGGGTATGATCTTTATCCTGAGGCGTCCAGGGAGCCAGGGAAGGTGTTTGAGCAGCTGAGTGTTGTGACCCAAACGAAGCTTGGACATCTCACTCTAGAGAAGACCGATTGGATGGTGTTGACTTGGATGCAAGGAGACTGGGGAGGGGGCTGGGCCCATTGGCCAATGAGGAGAGGATGAAGTCTGAGCTGTGTGGAAAGTCTAGGGAAGGGGAAGGGGAAGGGCAGACACTGGGGAGGAGAGAGAGGAGAGAAGCATGATGTCTCAGCTGTGCTCTGGGTGCCTGGGGCATGGAGGCCGCTCAGGGAGAGTCATGTTTCTGGATCATCCCCACCACGTATCTGCAGAGCCATCTGTTCCTGGCTTCTCAGAGGTAGCTCCTGGCTTCTGGTGGGAGGACCACCTCAGGCTTTAAGTGAACTAAGTTGTTGCTTCCCTCCCTGCCTCATCCTGCAGGAGGCCCAGCGAATATATTGCCGCCATCTTGGAGCTCAGTGCCCTGGTGACAAAACGGCACCATCAGCTCTTCCTGTACATAGACTTCCTGTACTACCTCACCCCCGATGGACAGCGCTTCCGCCGGGCCTGCCGCCTGGTGCATGACTTCACAGACGCCGTCATCCAGGAGCGGCGCCGCACCCTCCCTGACCAGGGTGTCGAGGACTTCCTGAAGGCCAAGGCTAGGACCAAGACTTTGGACTTCATCGATGTGCTCCTGCTGACCAAGGTGGGCTTCTGTGGCATCTGAATTGCAAAGGAAGAATGGACCTAGATTTCAAATGTCCAATTGAAGAGCTTGGATTTGATGCAGAGGGCACAGGGGAGCCATGGAGGGTGCTTGAGGAAGGGGGGGATAGTCAGGGATGAGTTTTAGCGGTGACTGTGTGCAGTGTAGCCTGTAGGGGATCCCTAAGTTTGAAACTGTGAAGGGCCTGAGGTTTTATTCTACTTCCAACTTAATAAGTTAGTCTACCATGAATATATATACTATTACTCATAGCAGTAATAGGAGCCAGGTTAGAACTATAGCCCTGGTTCCCCACTCCCACATTCTTCTCAGGGCTACATGATATGTTTACCATGTGCTTGCATCACAGGAGAGGTCCTGTGCCTTTTGAATCTTAGAACTTACATGGGACAGCTGACACATCGGCCCTTTCTTCAGTAGGTGGGGGGAGGAGGAGGAGAGAGAGGGGAGGAGGAAGAAGAAGGAGGAGGAGGTTATTATGGTTTCGGAGCATAAACAAATCCTTTGAGAAGGCAAAGTCTACAGGTTGTATAGATTTATAACCCATTCCTCATCTCCAAGGAAGATAGAGCCTCTGGATTGACCTTCCTAGAGTGCGAGCCACTGGCTCTGGAGCAATGCTCACTTTCTAATTTCCAAGGCAATTCAATCATCTGTAACCCAGCTTGCCAGTATCTTTTTTTAAATCAGAAAGCCCTCATCACCAGGAGGCAATGAGGCCAAGGAGGAGGCCGGTGGGTCAAGGCCTCTTGGTGCTGGTGAGAAAGGGAGGTCAGGAGTGCAGTGTGGGCTTAGGTTTCTGAATGGATGATGGCACTTCAGAGGTTGCCTCAGGGGCCGGCCCGGCAGAGCTGCTGTGATCTGGGGAGTCTTGCTTTCTCTCCAGGATGAAGATGGGAAGGAATTGTCAGATGAGGACATCCGAGCTGAAGCGGACACCTTCATGTTTGAGGGTGAGGGCCCCAGTGTGGGAGCACAGAGGGGGTAGGGGTCTGTCTACCTCAGGGGCTCGGCAAGGGGCCCTGGACCACCTCATCCCTCCCACTCCTCCCCGTCCTCCCCGAGGGCCTTCACATAAGGGCACAGCCCACCTTCTGGTGCCAGAGACCCAAGCCTGTCTGACTGCCTCCCAGGCCATGACACCACAGCCAGCGGCCTCTCCTGGGTCCTGTACAACCTCGCAAGGCACCCAGAATACCAGGAGCGCTGCCGGCAGGAGGTGCAACAACTCCTGGGGGACCGTGAGCCTCAAGAGATTGAATGGTGAGTGCAGGTCCTCCTGGCCTCTTCCTGAGCCCCTCTCATTGGCTCTGCCCCCAAAGTGGGGAAGAGGGAAGATCTTTTGGTTGATTCTGTCATTGCGTCCTCCCATTTAGTGGGAATGGAAGCAGAGTTCAAAGGCAGGGTCTGGAACCAGCCTGGATAGCAGGACAAAGCTTACAGGCTTTGGGGACAGAAAGATCAGGGCTGCTGAGAAAATTAGGGACAATGTGTGAGGGAATTTCAGCAAGTTATCTTCTCCTTCACTCCCTTCCTTTCCTCTCTGATATCACTTTTTTTTTTTTCAAGTATCTTCAGGACCTGAATATTTACTTATCTCTTGCCTCCTAATTCCTTCCATATTGTTTAGTCCAGGATTCACAGGGGACCCCTAGGCACAAAGCCACTCAACTCTTGCCCAGTTACACCTGAATCTCCCCCATCCAGTCCCTCTTCAACAGACACTGCCACACTGCCCCCCATCTCCACCTCGGTGCCATCTCCAATTCTCCCCGGCCCCCTTCTGCGTCCTGGGGGCCCAGGAAGGACCCAGCCAGCCTTTGCCTTCTGGGAGCTCCCAGCCTGGGCGGGAACAGTCCCAGCTCAGGGCCCGGAGTTGACAGTAGGATGGGCCAGGCTGAGGGCGGAAAGAGTGTGTCCGCTGTGACCCTGAATGCTGATCAGTAGATGTTTGCATGTATCTACTGACCTGGCCCAGTTAGGTGAAAAGAGACAGTCCTGGCAAAGCGAGGGAGTCGGGGAGAAGGGCAGAGGGAGAGGGAGGGTGAAGAGGGAAGGAAGGGGAGGGAAAGGAGAAGGAAGGTGGAAGGAAGAGAGGGAGGGAGACAAGAAGAGAGAGAGATGTGGTTGGCTTTTAAGCAATGTTAATGGCTTCCATTTTAACCCAAGGACAATGAGGAGCCACAGGAAGTGTTTGTGCAGGAGGAGGGCAGGGCAGATCTGGGTACCAGAGGGATCTCTCTAGGGCTAGTGTGGGAGACACTGGAGAGGACCAGCCGGCGCCTGGGGCCAGGGAGGAGGTTCTGGGCCTTCGCCAGGACAGGGGCTGGAGGTGGTGAGGAGGTTTGAGGCTGGACAGGCATATGGGAGGTAACGGTCTCTACTCCAAGCCTTTGCTCAGCACAGCAGTCCTGTAGGTGAAGAAACATGTTCATGCTTTTTCAACCGAGACTCCAAACAGATTCACGCACTTAAAGAGAAAAGAGTACAAAAGAGTTTATAATAAAAATGAACTTCAGCTCTAGCTGGTTTGGCTCAGTGGATAGAGCCTTGGCCTGAGGACTGAAGGGTCCCAGGTTCGATTTGGGTCAAGGGCATGCCGGGGTTGCAGGCTCGATCCCCAGTAGGGGGCGTGCAGGAGGCAGCCAATCAATGATTCTCTCTCATCATGTTTCTATCTCTCTCTCTCCCTTCCTCTCTGAAGTCAATAAAAATATATTTTAAAAAATAAATAAACATTCTTCTTAATCCTCACCCTACGAGTAACTTCCACGAGTAATTTCCTGTGTGTCCTTTCAGGGGTAGTGTTTTATAGTTTTCCAATTGTGAACCCGTTAACTATATCAGCTATTGAAAATTTAATTCATCACACAAAAAGAAGGGGATTAAAGAAAAATAGTTTAGCTCTTTACTGGATCTTCAATATTTATCATTTTCCAGTGGATTCTCTTGTGTTTTCTAATTATGAAATCACTATCTGCCCAAAATGGCACATTTCCCTCCCACATTCAAGTTATATTACTCTCCTTTTATACCCTTGCCTAACTGCATTAGCTACTCTCTCTAGCACCGTGATAAGTAACATATTGGATCTCTGTGTTTTTTTCTTTCTTACTCATTTGCCTGTTGATTTTGCTCTCTTGCCATAAAGAATATATATATTTTAAAATACATTTTATTGATTTTTTACAGAGAGGGATAGAGAGACAGAAACATCTATGGGAGAGAAATATCGATCAGCTGCCTCCTGCACACTCCCTACTGGGGATGTGCCCGCAACCAAGGTACATGCCCTTGACCAGAATCGAACCTGGAACCCTTGAGTCCATAGGCCGATGCTCTATCCACTGAGCCAAACCGGTCAGGGCTAAAGAATATATTTTTAAGGCAAATTTGTAAACCTTGTTATGGTTGGCGTTCTTGTGTTGTGTTGCTCAGAAAAACCTCTAACATTTTCTCTAGTACTTTTGTGACACTGGTTTTCTCTTCTTTGAATTTTAAACCACTTTATGGAAGTGTGATCGACATACAAAAAGCTGTACCCATTTAATGTGCACAACCTAATGAGTCTGGAGCTATTCGGTCCACCTGGAACTGATTATCTCACACAGAGAGAGCTCATGGAGCTGGGAGGGGTCTGGTTCTGCTGTGGGTGGGTAACCGTGTGGGTCCTTAGGGACGACCTGGCCCAGCTGCCCTTCCTGACCATGTGCATCAAGGAGAGCCTGCGCCTGCACCCCCCGGTCACCGTCATCTCCCGCTGCTGCACCCAGGACATCACGCTCCCGGATGGTCGGGTCATCCCCAAAGGTGCTGGCCGTGACGGGGGGAGGAGCCACCTGGGGGGAGGAGCCACCTGGGGGAAG